CGCGACCAGGGCGAGCAGCTGCCCTCTCACCCTTGCCTTCCGCCGACCAGTGCACATTGGGCCCATGACCGAATGTAGGTTCAACGGCGCATTAAAAATGGCGGGCGAGGAGACGCAGGGGATGGCGGGCAAGAGCGAGGACATGCCAACCACCCCTTCTGGCCAGGTGGGGGAAGCAGCTGATGCAGCGCCCGGGGCAGCACCAGGAGGAATCAGCCCCCGCGGAACCTGTGCTGTTGAAAATAACGACCGTCGACATAATTTATGTCATGGTCGATTGCGTTGCCGCTAAGATGCGTTGCGACAGCGGGCCGCTGGAGTACTTCACCAGCCTGTGAAACCAGAGTTCCCCCGATGTTGTTTGCATTCGTGTAGCGGGGCCTGAATGTCCCCGAAACCACGCGCGGCCAACGAGATCGCGCGAGCTAAATTGGTCGCGCGACACAGCGGCACCACCGGAACTCATCATTTTCTTTGGACCTTCCGACGCGCAGGCTTCCACGACGCACGTCGCCCCCTCTAGTTCGGTGTAGCGTGGCCTCAAACACCGCGCGTGGCCGCCCCGACGCATCGACATCGCGGTTGCGAGAGTGGCAAAAGGCAGTGCGACGGGGCGAGGCCGCGCCCGCCCGCGCGACCTTCCGGGGCGAGGGCCACGCCTGCGTGCGCAATGGCGAGGGCGCTGGCCGCAGCGCGGCCCCGCGTCGGGAAAGCCCCGCCAGCGGGCGCGCTGCAGGAGGCAGACAACATCAGTGACATGAAGGTGCGGGGCGCGACGAAGCTCTCAGGATCCACGCGGCGCCCGAAGATCCGAGGTGGCGCGCGATGGACGACGCGATGAGGGCGCGAGGCGGCCCGCGAGGTCGCGCCATCCGCGGCGCCTCAGGCCTTGGCAGCGGCTCCGTGCGACGCCCGCTAGGAGTACCTCCCCGCTCGGAAGCCGTGGGCCGCTCGCCTTGGGGCGTGTTCTGGGAGGGGTTTGGCGGCGGCGCTCGAGCGGGGAGGGGCCCCGAGCGGCTACTTGGCGTGCTTCCGGGGTTGTCTTGGACCTCCACCCTCCGGCGGGCTCCTCCGCGGCGAGTGCGCCCTCCTTGCCTTTGGGGGCCCCCATCCTTCCGCTGCGGGCGGGGCCCGGGGTCCAGCGCGGGAGGAGGCGCCTCCATTGCGGAAGGCCTTTTGGAGGATGGGCGCTGCATCGAGACTGCGCCCCTCGGCGCCTGCGCTCGCGCGGCCGCGAGCGCGGCGATGGCGCCGTGAAATGGGGGAGAAGGAGCGAGGTGGGAAGGTGGATGGGCCCCGGCGCTCGCAGCGCCCGGGGGGGGCCCAGGCGCGTGTCCCCTCTCTGCTTCGGCGTGCTGAATGATGGGGCTCAAGGCCGTCGTGAATCTTCGTCTGAACTTCAAGAAATTCCGGATTGCATTATGCTGTGGCGCTGACGTTGGCCGTCTTACCTCTGTGTTGGCGACATGTTGTGTTCCTTTCTGTCATGTGCAAGTCGCCTCGTGGGCCGTTTACCTTGGGTTCCCGGTTGGGCCGAATGCGGCCTCTGAAGTGTGGCCCGCGGTCATTCCGGGATTCCTTTCCAGGGTGCACCAGACGCGGCAACTCGGGTTAGGCATTGCACAATCAGCTACCGCCTTCCGCGTGATGTGTGTCTCGAAGCCCTTCTTTCGGCTACAGCTGTGCCCGCCCGATACCACTCTTAACCGCCAGTTCCGCGAGAGCGTCACGCGGCTTTCTTCTGACCCTAGGAATGCGATCACATGCAACATCGCCACCAAGCTCAAAGCAATCTGCTTTACCCCTGAGTTTGTGGACCTTCGCGCTGTCGCGCGCTCCGCCGCCATCAGATACCTTCTGAACGCAGGCGGGCTGCACGGTGTTTTGGAGGACCTCGAACAGGCTCGTGAAGACATTGAGCACATCCCCTGTCGCGGGAACCGTGGTTGGCACGAACGCAGCTTTCTGGGCCGCAGCTTTCTGGGCCGCATGCGGAACATTCGCGGCTGGTCTCAAGGGCTCTCGACTGGCCTCGGCTCAGGGGCCTCCAAGCTTCGAAACAAAGTATACATGCACTTTAGGTAGATCCAGAGGTCGGAGCCAGTTGGCGATATCCCCCATAGGCGCGCGCACAATTTGCGCCCCGAAGTTCGCCGGAGCATATTGATTGCATGTGTGATATTATCCGGCGAGTGTGCACAGCCACGTTTGTGCACATCGGGATTGCACCTCTGTGGTTGTTGACTAATTCGATATGTGCGAGCGCGAGGTTCCATTCCGCCCCTCGTGGAGGTTTGTTCGGATGCCACAATGTTGACGGCAATGACACAGACTTGCTCCGCCACTACTCCAACTGTCCTCACCTCAGGGCTCTCCTTGGGCAATGGATGGGAAGAACTATGCGTGTGCATCGTGGCGAAATGAGCGACCATTGGTTCCCCTCCTGCCTTATCCTTGAGTTTAATGACCTGTCAGCCTGTTTTAAACGCGCTGCCTGCATGGGCGCATAGATTTGCACACTCAGCGCGAGACGCATGGACCGCCCTGTCGTTCCCGAGCTTGTTTTTGAGGCCCGCCTGAGAGCCACCTCTCGGAGGCATCCCAAGCTAGCTCAAGTTTGGAGCGAGACGGGCTTCTTTCGCGCCCGTCGCATGGCGAGGACGGCGGCCCCTGGCCGCGCTGTCGCAGCGGGCGCCTGGCACTCCTCGCGGCAAGCGGGAGCTCCCTTCTTCAGGGCCGCCACCTCCTCGCCACGCCGTGGCTCGCACTGTTCGGCGCACGCGCCAACCGCCTTCAGCATCAAGCATACGAAACCCAGCGAGGACGGGAAACAGACATCTCTGGATCTCCTTCCCCTCCCTCTGTCGGCGTCTCACTCCCATCGCATCGGGGGGCGTCGAGTTCCTGAGAGTGGCAGGGGCCCTGGGCCAGGGCCCCCAGAATCGCCACCCGAGAAAAAATCACCGTCACCTCCTCCCCTTCTTCCGCCACCGCCACCGCATTGCTGGCGGGGTCCGTCGAAGGTACGGCTCCGTGTGCCAACACGTAAGTGGAACCTCCTCAACCTCCCGACGTCTGATGCCATTTGGGTTTAGGCGCTCAGCCGTTTCAGAACAACCCACCGACCACCCTAGGGCATCAAGTTCCTGGGAGTGGCAGGGGCCCTGAGCCAGGGCCCCCAGAACCGCCACCCGAAAAAGGGACATCACCGTCACCTCCCCTTCTTCTGCCATCGCACCGCCGTTACGCTCGATGGAGGATACGACGGTGATGGCGATGGTGATGGAGATGTTAATGGCGATGCTGATCGGGAGACGGAGGAGAAGGAGGAGGAGGAGGAGGAGAAGAAGGAAAATGATCAATGCAAACCCAAGACGCATCAACGATGTTGCAATAAGCCTTCCTTCCAATTTCTTTCGTCAGAAACACCTACCAGCCGCAAGTGCCCCATTGAAAGACAAGCGTCTGAGAAGTCTCAATCGCGCCAAAACGTCGTTCTTGCGACTTCAACGCCGCGCATCAACGCGACTGCCTTGGCAGTGCTAAATCGTGCCAGGAAGCCATTCCTACAACTGCAACACCGCTAATCAACGTGACTGTTGCGCCTTGACAATCCGAAGCCGTGCCCGGACAACCCCTGGGGCGTCATCCTCGCAGATCCTTGAAACTGCTGGCATACATTCAAGACGACTGCGCGCGGCGCTAAGGAGAGATTCGCATTTTGAACAGGTATCTGGCAAAACGCCCAGCCAACGCTACCAACACATCTGAAGGTGCCAGAGGAGGAGTTGCTTAGAAGGGAAAGAGATGGAGGAGGAGGGGGAGGAGGAGGAGGAGGAGGAGGAGGAGGAGGAGTAGGAAGAAGAGGAGGAGGAGGAAGGAGGAGAAAGGAATATGGGGGCATGAGGAGGATGAGGAAGAGGATGGGGGAGGAAGAGGAGGGGCCAGGATGAGTCGGAGGATGGAGGGGGGGGCGCGAGCGCAGGGGTTGGAAGAGGAAGGGGAGCCGATGGGGGAGGGCCGTTCGGTCGTCGGGGGAGACCGCGTCTCCGAGGGCGCGCGGCCGTGCCCCACCGGCGGTCGCCCAGCTCAGGGCTCGGTGGCAGGGGGAGGCGGGCGGGGGCTCCTGCCTGGAGGTCGCCGTCGGGTTCGAGGCAGCCAGAGAGGGCGGCGGCGGCGAGGTCCGGAGGCGGAGATTGCTGCGTCGGAGCTGAGGAGGGGAGGAGGGACACGCAGTCTCCATGCGTGCAGCTGCGGAGATGTCAAGCTTCAGGGTCACAAGCTTCGCTCGAGTCTCGTGCGCGGCGCCAGGACCGCTCCACCGACTCGTCCGGTGGTGCTACGAGGAAGAGTTGATCATGAGGAAGAGGGATGGAGGAGGGGCGAGGGCGGAGGAGGAGGAGGAGGAGGAGGAGGAGGAGGAGGAGGAGGAGGAGGAGGAGGAGGAGGAGGAGGAGGAGAGGAGGAGGAGGAGGAGGAGGAGGAGGAGGAGCAGCTTCCTTGCAACAGCGCTAGCAGCACGAAGTGCGCCAGATGCGGGCCCATGATATTTTACCGATCTTGGGTTGTATTGGAGCCCCAGTGAGCCCAGACCGAGCTGGAGCGCTCCCAGGCCTCCCCGCCTTCCCCTCCCCTCCCCCCCTCCCCGAGGGGGAGAACGAACACCAAGGGGAAACGACAAAAACCTCGAGGCCCCCAGCTCGTAACCCTCTGCCCCGCCCCCCACTGGAAGAAAGAAAGCTCCGAGGGCGAACAAAGAAGCCTCCAGGGGAAGCAGCAAAAGAGTGCCACGAATCCTTCGAGGGCCTCGGAGAGCCTCGGGGGGGGAGGAACCCTTGCTCCCGCTTCCCGAAAACGTGCGGCGGCGGACCCTGCGGTGAGGTCTCCTTGGGGAGTCCGAGGTCACCGCACGGTCCGTCACCGCACCGTTGGGACCGACAATGCCCACCCACCTGCCCGCCCGCTCACCCACCCACCTGCCTTCCGCGCCGCCACTCCAGGTGCTCACCACTTACCTCCGCTGGAAGGCCGCGGCCGGCGCCACCGGAGTGCCTGCTGCTCCCGCCGCCGTGGCGCCCGGGGAGCTGCCGGCCGGCCTCCGAGTGAGGACGCCCGCGTGTTGCAGCCCCGCCGCCGCCGCGCCTGCGGCCACCACGCCGACGTTCGCCGTCCAGCGCCGCGCCTGTGGGAAGAGAAGAGGGGGAAGGTGGCGAGTGGAGGAGGAGGGAGGAGGAGGAGGGAGGAGGAGGAGGAGGAGGAGGAGGAGGAGGAGGAGGAGGCGCAGGAGGAGCAGGAGGACGAGGACGAAGACGAGGACGAAGACGAGGACGAAGACGAGGAGGAGGAGAAGGAGGAGGAGGAGAAGGAGGAGGAGGAGGTGGCAGAAGGAGGACGGCGGCGGGGGCGGCGACGATGAGTATGAGAGGGGGGGGAGGCGAGGAGGCGAAAGGTGACGACCAGGGCGACGAGGGGGGGGTGACCGGACGACGGCGACGGCGGCGACGACCACGGCGGCGGTGATGGCCACTGCGGCTGCGGCGACGGTCGGCGAGCCGGGAGAGCGGGCGGGCTCACAGATGCGACCGCGGGCGGGCCAAAACGCCCCAGACCTTTTCTCCAGTCGTTGGTTCCCAGAGTTCTCGGCCCCTTCTTCAGGACCAGCCTCGTGAGCCCAGATCGCTTCTTGATGGTCTTGATGCCCGCAGCACGGCCTTAGGGTTCCGGACGGAGGAGAATCCAGCCCCCGATCGCTTTCACGACAAAGGACGTCCAGGGCGGCAAGAACCACGACCCCCCCCCCGGTCGGAGCACACGCTTCCCGCTTGAGACGGCGTGGGGGCATCACCTTGTATTTAGGGTGAATGGAGTGGCTGTGCCCAAGGTTTCGCCGGGTGCCCGCCTCGTGGGCGCCTCGTGGGCGCCTCGTGCGCTGGGTCGCTGTGCCAAGGTTTCGCCCGGTGCCCGCCTCGTGGCCGCCTCGTGGGCGCCTCGTGCGCTGGGTGCGTGTGCCGAGGTTTCGCCCGGTGCCCGCCTCGTGGCCGCCTCGTGCGCTGGGCGGCTGCAGTCTGCACCATGCCTTGCAGGCATCACATAGTACGGTGGGGGCGCGTGCCAAGAAACCAGATGGATTCTGCCAGGGTGCCCCGGGTTTCTTGGATTTCGATGGGCCTCCAATAAGATCTTGACGATTTTCGATCGACAACTTGGGAGTTTCACTGAACAAATCGCGGATATCAGGGTTGGGTTTCTTGCGGAGGTTTCTTGTGGCCGAGCCCCCACCGAAGTGCACGACATAGCTTGCGCCACAGATGTGCTACCAGATAACACTCACCACGAACGTCGCCGTGACAAAAGTATTATATGGTCTGCGTGCAAGTTGACTGACGGGTGGCGGAGTCGGTGGAGAGGGCGGAGTGGGCGGAGTAGACATTACTCCGCGTGGACATGCATCGCGCCCAATTTTCTCATGATATATTGGGCAGAGTAATTTCCGTTCTTGATGAGAAATAACAGCCGTTCATTAAGAGGGGTCCGAATTACTCCATGGGGGCGCAGGGGTCATTTGCCCATGTCAGGAATCTTCAGAGGAATAGGAGGTTCCAACATCATACCAGACTGACACTTTCGTCACGCCAGTGTAGCTTTCGCCTCATAGCTGCGCCACATACATATCTTGCACCACACAGGTTACGCCACTCAGCCTACACTAGATGTGCTGCATCCCAGTGCTGGCACCACATGGCTTACGCCACGTGGCTCGCACCGCGTAGCTTGCACCAACAAAGCTTACACCACATAGCTTGCACCACACAGCTTGCACTATGTGGCGTGCACCCCGGAGCGTACAGCACATAATTAGCTTGCACCACATCCATGGTGTACCACATTGCTGTCGCCACGTCGCTTCCTATCTATATAGCGTAGACATCCACGGTGCAATGCGGTTCTGTTTGGGGCCCACGCTGGCACATGAGCCGAACGCCTAGTCATGAAAGAGTTCGAAGTCGGAGGTGAGAGCCCCATGCTGGAATGGAGCCATCCTCCCTGTCTTGCGGCTGTCGCACATTACTTCACGTTGTGGCCATATTTTCTTAAGACGCCTCGGGCAAACACCAAATTTGAACATGCGTAGCCGCTGGAATTGTTTCAAGCGAGTGTGCGCCGCGCTGATGCGAGGGCCGGATTGTGAAAACGACCAGCACTTCATCCATATAACTGCTGTTGGTTTAAGACGAAAGTGCGCGACGCGAAGGCGAGAACCACATTTTGAAATTTACTGGCCCTCCATCCCCGTAACCGTTAGGCTTTCTAGACGAATGTGCGCGGCGCTGCGGCGAGAACCACATTTCGCAAAGGACCCCCCTACATCCGTGCAGCTGTTGGATATTGCAAAGGTCGAGGGGAAGAGGCATAAGGAAGTGTCAAGCGAAGCGACCGTCTCTGCCTGCGGACGCGCTTGGCTGTGCGACGGGGAGGATTTTTTTCAGAAGGAAGAGGACTGGGGGAGGAGGGAGCGTCATAGTGGGGGAGAGGAAAGAGGGGAGACGGAGGAGGAAGAAGGATGGGGGACGGAGGAGGGGCAGGAGAGCTGAGGAGGGACTGAGTCCACGATTCTTGTGAACTTCGCGTTTGGAGTTCAGGTCTGCATCCAGCATGAGGCGCCTGCGTCTCCGCAGCGGATGGAATGGACTGGATTGTAAAAGGAACCGCGCCCAGGATACGAGGCCTCACTGGCGCCGCAGAGCACAACGGCGTCGAAGGCGTCATCAAAGGCTACAGCAGGCGTGCAGGGGCATGCATCGCATGATGACTGACACGTCATTCCAGCTCATCAATTTCTTACGCTTTTCAGTATCAAGCTACTACTGCCTTCCAAGATCGTCTTTAGCTATTCATGTCCTCCCCTGTCCATGGAATCCCCTTTCTCGTCTTCGTATTCCTGGCCCAAGCTTCACTACCCTTGCCTCAATGCCCATGCCTCGGCCATCCTACCGTCGTGAAGCACATGTTGATTGCCGCTCGCTAGAGCTATCTCAGAAGAAATTTGTGTCGCTTCTGTTTGTGTTCCGTCTCAAGATGGCAAGTCGTGTTGTTCCAGCTCACCCTACAAGCCTCGTCAGAAATATGTTGAAACGCTGTTCGACATCGAATCGCTCGATGGTTCGGGCACTTGTCAGAAAACGCGTTCTTCAATGTTGTGAGGCTACTGCCGGATTTCGGACACCCCTGCGTCTGGGCCGAATACTTCATGCCAGCATTGAAGCGCCCACCACGCAAGCACCGAAAACAAAAACCGTCAATTCATGTTTGACGAGTCTTGTAGGATCGCGCTTTCCTTCGAAACCTGCCACCCCTCCTTGCAGGCCCTCCTCGTTCCCTCCTCGCCACGAGGCGTTCTGCCGCCGAGGGTCTCCTTCTGGAGTGTTTTCCCCCCGCTGAGGGGGCCCTGGCCAGAGGGCATTTGGCTGTCCCAGACGCTGGTGTCCCAGTCGGCGGTGGAAGCAGCGAGGAGGAGGAGGAGGAGGAGGAGGAGGAGGAGGAGGAGGAGGAGCAGGAGGAGGAGGAGGTGGAGGAGGAGGGGGAGGAGGAGGAGGAGGAGGAGGAGGAGGAGGAGGAGGAGGAGGAGGAGGAGGAGGCGGAGGAGGAGGAGGAGGCGGAGGAGGAGGAGGAGGAGGAGGGGGAGGAGGAGGACGAGAAGGAGAGAAGGAGAGAGGAGAAGGGAGGAGGGACGCTCCCCTGGGCGGCTTCGCCGACCTGCTGTCTCGCGGGACCGCTCGCCCGTGAGCGGGGGCCACACACGAGGTGGGAGGACCGCGAGCGGGGGCGGGCCACGGGGCGCGAGCGGGCCACGGGCCACTGGCCGCCTGGATTATTTTTTTCTCGGGGAATCGGTGTCGACGAGAGGGGGATCCTTGACATCGCTCGGACGTGTGCATCTTCTCCTCGGCGAGGACCATCGCAGAGCAGCTTGGATCATCTCGCGAAGAAACACACACACACACGAAACCGAAGCAACGCACGGGGAGTGGACGTCCGAGCGATGGCGGGGATCATGCTGCGGCCTGGGCGGCACAGCGCTGCATGGTGCGGCATCGGCCCTCACCCCTCGATGTTTGGGCTGCGGATCTGCCTCGCTGTCTCCTGTTTGTCTGTGGGCCCGGGGTGCGAGCTGCACGCGCGCGGGGTCAACAGGGACAGCATCGAGCCATCAACGTGTGGACGCCACAGGGAAACTGATCGACAGGAGGGGAGCAGATGGAGAGAGAGAGAGAACAAAAAAAAACATAAAAACAAGCAAAAAGGAAAACGAGAGCGAGGGAGGGGGGAACGTGGAGAGGACGGGCACGACAGTGGGCGGGGCGGGGTGCATCCTTCCGGTCGAACTGGGGGACCCTCGGCCGGCCGACGGGCAGGCCAAGTGCCCGGAAGCCGCCCCGGGCCGCGAGGCACAGCGCGCCTGCGCCTCCGTGCTCTGCGGTGCCGTGGGCTGCAGACAAGGCTGCGTCGGGGTCCTCCCGGGGCCTCCCGTGCGCCTCGCGGGGCCGCCGGGGGGCCCCTGGCGCCTGCCGGAAGGCCTCCGGGGCCGCGCTGGCGGCCTCCTGCCCGTGCCCCGCCAGACAGCCTGCGGCTGAGAGACCGTCCCGAGAGGCCTCCAGGCGGCCGAGGGACTCTTTCGGCCGCGAGACAGGAAAAACAGGAAGAAATGGAAAAAACATAAAAAACAGGAACAGCCAGAACAGAAACTGGAAAAAAACAGAAACAGCCAGACACAACTGGGTTTTTTCTGCCTGCGGTTCGAGTGCTGCCACAGGTATCCCTGGCCCAAGGTGTCCTCAGGCCTTCCAGTCGGGGGTGGACAGACCTCCTACCCTGACACGTCGATTAGCGAATTGGCTGTTTTCGGTTCGCGAGAAGGCGTCGCGGTCGTCATTTTTGCGGGTCCAGGTCCGTCGGTTTCGCTCCCAGGCCGTCTCCACTGAGGGGAGGTGTACTGAAGGGAGGTTTGTCCACCGCCGATCCAGGGAGGCCCAGGTGGCCTCCAGAGCACCCCTCCCCCACGTGGCCCAGAGGGCCCATGGGGCTCCGAGGTGGCGGGAGAGGCTGGGGGGGGGCACCCCGGGCCAGGGCCACCTCTCGCAGCGCCCGATTTGTGGAAGAGTGAGCTGCCGAGCTGGGGCCTCCGCCCCCTGATGAGCCCACGCCCCCCCCCCCCTTCCCCTCCACATGCGCACTTCAGGGGGGGATCGTAGTGGAATGGGGGTAGTGGAGGGGGGCGGGGACAACAATCGGACACCTGGTGATCCCAAAGGGGCAGGCGCCCTGGCCACGGTCCGACGCCGTTTTGCCTTCCTCTTCCCTGCCGCTGCTGCTGCCTGCGTCGAAGGCTTGGCCTGGCCTGGCTTCGCGCCCTCTCTGCAGCAGCAGGGCGAGGCCGGCGCAGGAGCATCGCCAGCGCTGCCGCTGCCCAGCCGCTGCCCGGGCTCTCCCCGGCGCAGGGGCCGCCCCTGCGGCACGTGCAGGCCACGGGGATGGTGCAGGCGAGGGCGGGTGCCGCGAGCGCTGGAGGAAGCACGGGCCGACCTCCATCACGTTGGGGATGTCGTGTCCGGGGGCACGCGCCGCCGTCGGCCAGACTTGGGCCCCCCCTGCGGGGCCGGGAAGCCTCGTGTTCGCCGTCGCCGCCCCGAGATCGGCTGACGCCGAGCGCCGCCGACGCCGAGCGCATGTTCCCGCGCGCGCGCGCCCTGAGCACTCGGAGGAGGGGCTGCGCCCCATCGCGCACGCGGCCGCGGGAGCTGGGGCCACGAAGGCGCGGCCAGGCCGTAGGCACGGCCCGCGCACCTCTGACTTCGGGAGTCGGGTCCGCTCCTCCCCGCCCTCCCCCTCACCGCTCCCTCTCTCCGCTCCCCCTCTCCGCGCCCTCCCGTCTCTTATCCAGTCCCTGACCGCCTCGATCCTGAAGGTTCGAGGGAGTTTTGTTGCGTTTTTGGCCCTTGTCGGGCCTCCACGGGCCTCCGCGGACCTCCAGAAGCTGCCAGTGAGCTCCGAACTGCCCCCCTTTCCACTCCCTCAGAGAAGACATGCCACGGAGTGAGTCATGCAAGAATGTGTGCCAACCGCGGATGGAACCGAGGCCCTTTCGCGCGCTCCGCCTCGTGACGGCCTTCGGACCGATGGGTCCAGTCACCCAGAACGTCCCTGGATCCACGGGCCATCCGCCTCTCTCCTTCCTCCGTCCGCACTCCCGGTCCCGCTCCCTCCCTCCCTCCACCTCCCCCCTTCCCTCAATCGTTCCCTCCCCTCCCCTTTGTCCCCGCTCCTGCAGTCGCCCCCCCCGCCTTCTCCTGCTGCTCGTGCTCCGCTGCATTTCATTGCAGGCAAGTGCTAGTAGCTCCTCCCAGTCGTAGCACCAGGCGTGCTCGTGGGCCGGGCTGGGCGTTTCGATGGAGGCTTCCCTGCACGGTGCGGCCCCAAAGTTTAGGGTCTCCAACAGGTGTGCGGATGTAGGGACACCCCTATCATGGCTCTCGCGCTAGCGTCGCGCACATTCACCTCAAAATCTTGCAACGGTTACACGGAGGAAGGGCGGGTCCTTTTCAACACTTGGTTTTCGCCTTAGAACCGCGCTCAGTTGTTTCAAACATTTGCAGCAGTCGCACGAATGGAGGCAATTGTGCTCTCAAACTGAGGTTCTCGTTCAAGACTCCCATGTTACAACACATGTAAACATGTGCATCAGGTATACACATGGAAGCAGGCCACTCTCAACATGGGACTATCGTTCAACATCTCGCATGACATCTATATTCCCCAAGACGTACAATTGTGCAACAGGCTCACGGATGGAGGGCGGTTCCATTTCAAAGTTGGTTTTTGGTTGGGACCACCTTCGCACATAGCTGCGAGAAGTTTCAACCTCTGTAACAGCGGCTGCACTGCCGGGGGCGACTCCTTTTCAAAACGGGGCTATCGCTCGACACCTTGTTTGCCTTTATGATCCTGCCCCGTCGTACGTCTTTAAGCTCGCTAGGAAGTATTAGACAGTTGCAAGGCAGCTCCTTCTCAATATGAAACTCTCGCCTGGATGGCAGGTCCACAGGGCGTTCGTCTTTCAGGAGGGCGTCTCCTATAGCGAAGAGGAAAGCATTCGGGGACTTATGAGGAGGGAGCCTGGGGCGGAGGGTGTAGTTATTCCTCATGGTTGATACATGTTGGGTTCACTCTCTCTCTCTCTCTATTTCTCCCCCCCTTCCTCCACTGGCAAGAGCGTTGGGTGCGGTATGCCGGCACAGGAAGGCGGCCGTTTCTTCAAACTGACAAGGATGAGTTCAGTTCCCTTGCATCTGCAAGCAGTACGGTGTGAACCATGGCCCACTGTGGCGGCGACAGCTGCATGCAGATCGCGCATGTCCGCGGACTGGCGCTGCCATGTGGCACGTGAGCCCCATGGGACCTTCGGGTCTACTTCGGGGCGGCGATCCGCAGCTTGGAAGCTTCGTGCTCCTTGTGGGGCCCCTTTTGCGCGTAACCGTCGGCCGTTTCCCCTTACTGGCCCTGCAGCTCTTTGAGCAAACGGCTGAAAACCGTTGCAGGTGAACTATGCCAGTTGTGCAGCCCCATTGGCGATTGGTCCGCAGAGCCCCCACGGGTGAACCATTGCTGTGCGGGGTGTGGTCGACGGGGCAGCGAGTCGCAAGGCGACTAGCCCCTGCTCGTGCCTGATGTACCTCCCCACAGTCTGGGCTCATCGTCTCTTGGCATTGTCAGTGCGGCGTGTACCA